TCACCAGCAAGGCTGCCCTGTGGGGCCTCAGAAGTCCTCAGCCAGCCCAGGGTCCCGGGGTGCAGCCCTGGGGTGGGAGGAACAGAATCTGAGAGGCTGGGGTGAGGACATTGACCCCCACTCACCGGACGCTGACCGGGTACCTGGTGCCTCTACTCAGAACAAACCTTCAAGGTGGGTATTTCCATTCCCATTTTGCAGATGTGCAAACTGAGGCACCAAGAAGCCAAACCACTAGCCCGAGATCCCACGGCTAGGAAGGGGCAGAGGTGGCACTTGAACCCGGGCTATTCTGACACCAGGACCCACGTCTTCCATCACCGTGACTGCCCTTGACTTTCTATGACTTGCCCGCCAGGGACCCCACTGGATGCAGAGCCCTGCATTTTGCACCCCCTGACCCCACCTGTGCACCGGGGTGGCAGCGTTGCAGGCTGCACACATCCACCGCCCCCCTCAGAGAGCCCTCAGTGACCCGACTCACCCACCTCTGGACAGTGCCGTCGCCACACACCAGGCTCTGGGGCAAATAGGGGGGAGGGGTTGCAGGGGCCTGTGCGGCCAGGTGGACCCCTGAGAGATCCCGGAGCCCCGAGCCGCCCCAGCTGCACCCTGCGCAGGAGGCAGCCTCGGGCACAGGCGCCCTGGGCATCCGCGAAGGTTCTGGTCCCTTGGAATGCCCTGGCTCCGGCCCAGGCAGCTGACGAAAGGGTTCGCGCTGCTGCCAGCAGCCAGGTCGTTGGGAATGTGAGATCCCACCCAGTTCCCAGGCCCTGAGGGAAGAAGGACAGGCGCCCTCCCCTCCGCCCCATCACTGTCGCGTTCTCAAGGCAGAGCTCCAACTTCGGCCCCCGAAGGGTCTTGCTGAGAAAGTCATGCCCCCCCTCCACCCTCCACCCCCACCCTCACCCTCAACAGGAAAAAGCAGCTGGTTCCAGGCGAGAGGAAATGCCAGGGTCCTGAACGCTTGCTGGAGAGGCTGGAGGCTCGGAAGCTCTGCCACCCTCGCGGGGCAGATAACGGCAAGTGGCCCCGGAGCCGCACCCGGCTGCAGCAGAGCCAGGTCCCCAGCCGCCTGGCCCTGCGCCTGCCGTGCGGTCTGAGGTCACAGACTCATCCTCTCCACCTGCAACTGGGGCCGATGTGAGGAGGACACGGGCTCGCATCCACAGGACGCACCGCTTGGCGTGTCCCGAGAGGCGGGGCCTTCAACACGCAAACCAGAATGCTCCAGGCCAGCGGTTCTCAACCTGTGGGTCGCGCCCCCTTTGGGGGTCGAACGACCCTTTCACAGGGGTGGCCTAAGACCGTCGGAAAACACCTATATAATTACATATTGTTTTTGTGATGAATCACTGTGCTTTCATTATGTTCAATTTGTAACAATGAAATTGGGGGTCACCACAACATGAGGCACTGGATTAAAGGGTCGCGGCATTAGGAAGGTGGAGAACCACTGCTCTAGGCAATCCGGGGCAGGTGGGTCACGCTACCTGTACAAAGAGTCCAGCTCGAGCAAAAGTGCCTCTGGACTGTGATGTTTAAAGAGAACTCCTTCTTGAGTCAGACAACATCGCGTTTGAATCCTAGCTCTGCCGTCAGAAACTCTATTGTTTCCATTCCATTAATTTGACACATCCCCACAGTGTACCAGGCGCTGTACTAGGCACGGGAAGGCCGCTGCGAGCAAAGTGGGCAGAATCCTGTGCCTGGTAAATGGGGAGTGTGTGGGGGGGGGGGGGTGCGCCTTCATCTGGGACCTCCCCTCCCGTGTCCCCTGAGCCCTCGAGTCACAGCTCGGAAATAAAATAATCATAAATAAACCCTGCCTGTGTTTGGTTATTTTCCAGAGCAGGTCACCCCTCTCTCTTCTCCCTCACCCCTCCCCCCACCAGCAGAACTTTGAGAAAAACCCATGAAGTCAATGAGACCTTTTTTTTTTTTTTTTTTTTGCTAAACCGAACTGGAGCAGCCCCTGCTCTATCACCTGGGTCATCTGCCAGAAGTCACACAGGATAAGCGGTCACCTCCTTCCCCAGGCAGCGGGGTCACTTCCTCATGTCAACCTCAGCGGACACTTCCTCAGCATCCATCTTCACCCCCTGCCTTCCAGCCCCTTTCTGGGGGTGTGGGGGGTGAGGGGGAGGGGCTGTTCCCCCTGAGCAGGGGGAGGGGAGCCGCCCAGTGTCCCGCTTGCAGGTCTGTCTGTCTATTGGCTCGGTCCAGAAGGGAGGGAGAATACATCTGCACAGAGGCTGGTGGGCCCAGGAGAACATAAATCAAGAGGGAAAGGAGGAAGGGAAACGAGGGTGGGGACAGAAAGTACCGCCAAGGCCGAGGAGGAAAATGCAGACGATAAGTAGCGTCCTGAATACTTCCCTTGGGTGGGCCACGCCGTCCACTCCCAGCCTCCTCGTTGGCAACCAGCCCGCCCCGGGGGAACGCCGAGCCTTCCCCAGCCTTCCTGAGCCGGGAGCCACTGTCCCTAGACACTACCAGGGCAGGAGGGACCACGCGTTCCAGTCTAGGCATCCGGGTTCCGGCATCGCTGGCTTCCTCTGAAGAGGTTTCCAGAACAGCTGGCCGAGGGCCTGAGCAGGTGGCTGACGCTGCGTCTTTGCACCACCAGCAGCGGCAGGTGCCACCCTGTTCCCTGCGGCACCGCTAGAACTCAGCCACCCGCTGGGGCCACGCTCACGCCCCGCTTGTCTGTCACCGCGTTCTGAGGCCGGCACGGACACGCACGACCCGACCTTGACCTTGCCCGCCCACCTGTGCCGGGCCCTGTGCTCAGAACTCGTCCAGAGAGGGAGGCAGGTGCTGCCATGGTCCCATCGGGCAGATGCGGAAACCGAGGCTCAAAGAGGCCGGGCTACCGTTTAAGAAGGTAGCCCCGTGCCGGCCCCCGCGTCAGGAACTTTCCAGGACTCAGACATCCCTGGCTCTGCACAGGGACAGCGTCCCTCGTCCCCTCTCTTCGCAGGTGTGAAGGCCGAGCCTTAGTCACAGACGGGAGCGGGGCCTGCCGGGGCCCCCATGGTGTCAGCCCGGATGCTCAGGCTCAGAGTCGGCTTAGCCAGGCTCGCCAGCTGCGGGCCCTGGGCAGGGGGCTCAGTCTCTGTGCACCTTGGTGGTCTCATCCGTAAAATGGGAGTGAACCTGGCCGCTGCCTTCTGCTGTTGAAGGACAGCCACCCAGTGGGAGCGCCCCGGGAGGCCGGGGGCACGTCTGGGTGGTAGTGACTACCGGGTGGACGAGAAGCAGGGACAGGACTAGGGCGTGGACGCAGCACCCCAGCCCCGGTGCGACCCCTCCCAGGATGTTCACTCCCCTCGCTCTGCGAACCAGCCACATCCTTTGGGGGGACCCCGTGCAGCGTGAACACGCAGACACCTTATGCAGAAAGTGTTCAGCGTCTCGAGACGGTAACTGCGGAGCGTGAAGCCCGGGGCAGGCCCTGCCGAGGCCGTGCGGCTGCCCTGGTCACGCGCCCGGGAAGTGGCCCGGCCCCTCAGCTCTGGGGGCTTTCGGTGAAGAGCCCAGAAGGACAGGAGCTGGGGGGGGGGGGGGCGGGGAGCCAGGGATCTGGGGAAGAGGGACGCACGTCAAAGGCAGAGAGGGAGGCTGGCTGACAGAGAAAAGTGAGTGAGCACACGCCCTCTCTCTGGGCCTCAGTTTCCTTGGCTGTAAAATGGGACCGTTTGCCCCAGCTCCAACATTTCCAATGAGTTTGCCATGATCCCTCCAGGAGGGGCGGCTGGCCCCAGAAGACCATTTTGATGGTGACAGGATTGGGCAGGAGCTCAGCCGGGACTTGCGAGTGAAAACTACCTGTCCTTCAGGCTGGGGAACAGCACGGGGGGCTCCTGGAAGGAGGGACTCTCCCGGGGCGCTGCAGGCTTCCCGGGGCGCTGGGAAATGTGAGGCCCCGGAGCTGGGAGAGGACCCAGAATATGAGTGACCAGAGAGCCTGGGAACCTGGGTAATGTTATTAACCATGTCACTCCAATACATTTAACGAAAAAGGAAGCCAGCCGGCCTGGACCAGGAGCCACCCGGCAGGACAGGGGGCGGCCCAGGGCCCCCGCCTGAGGCGTGCCCTCTCCCAGGCCGCCAGGACTCAGGGATGGGGAGGTGAGGGCATCGCCCAGCCAGGCTCCGGGAAGCCGCCCTGCCCTTCCCCAGAGCCCTGCTCCTGATTTCCTTCGTGTCTGCGGCTTCTCACAGGAGGGGAGAGAAAAACAGCCAAAGAAAGGCCCATTTAGGCCAGACAGGCCCGCTTTCCCCGGGAGAGGCGCGGCTGGCGGTCCAAGGCCTCCGCCCGGCCGTGCCAAGCTTTCCGCCAACACAGGAGACAGAGGGCAAGGCTTGGGCAAAGCTGTGCCGCTGGCACCATCTACACCTGGCATTCCTCAGCCCCTCCTGGCTCAGGGCTTCCGGGCCCCACGTGTTGGGTTTCGGCCCCAATTCTGTGCCACGCGCGATCTCACGTGAACAACACGGACCCTGCTCCCGTGAGGAAAGCCCCTTTGTGATCCCTGAGTCACAGCGGGGGAAACCGAGGCTCAGAGCCGGGAAGCGACCTTTCCGGGGTCCGGCAGCCGGCTCGCCGCAGAAACGGGTTTCCCAACCGGTCCCTGGGAGCAGCGGGGTTTCTGCTTCTACCCGCTGGGCGGGCAGGCGGCCGCTCCATTCTTGCTGGAGGAAGACCCTTTTTCTTCGTGACCCACATCCCTGACAGCTGAAGAGGCCCCCTGTGAGTTCAGGCTGTCGTAAAAGAGATTGGAAATCGCACAGGCTCCCTAAGGGCCCGCACTTGACGTCAGTCAGCCCACCTCCCGCCGGGCTGGGAGGCCAGTGGAAACTTTAACGCCCTAGGGCAGCCGCCAGGCTCTCTCCCTCTTGTAAACATGTCGCAGGCTGGCCACAGGTGCCGCCCTAAATCAACTCTCTTTAACCCTGGAAGAAACTCCTCGTTTTCTCCCGACCTCTGTGCCTACCTCTGTCAGCCAGTCCTGAGCGGGGTAGGAGAGGGGACCCAGGATTCAGTCAAAAAAGCCACCGTAGCCAAGGAATCGTCTCTTCTCCAGGCTTGTTTACGGAACAGGCTACCCAGGAGAGTGAGCCGTGGGCCCGCACGCCTTCTGGGATTTCCAACTCCATCAGCTGGAGATTGTCTGAAATCCTCCGTCGTCCAGATGTTCAAGGTCAAGCACCGAGTGTGGAGAGGACGAGGCCTGGGGACCATGGCATGCTGCTCCGGTGACACGGGCTGCCTTTGGACCACCCGGAAAACTGGGTGGGACGTGCCAGGCCCGGCAGAGGGTCCAGACTGCCTCCGGCCGCGCCCTGCTCCCGCCCACCACCCCAGACATCCCTTCCTCGTCAAGTCGCTCAATCTCTGCTCACGCTGCTCTCCCCGCTGAGATATCTTTTATTTCTGGCCAATTTCTCCTCCCAGCACTCAAGGCCAATTCATCCCTGGAACCAGCTCAAATGCAGGCTTCCTTCTCAGAGTATTTCCTGACTGCACCCCTCAGCGCTGCCCGCCCTCTGCGCCTGCAGGACCTTGTGTACTGAATGGACCGGACGGGCACTAACTCAAGTGCATTTAACAAGAAGCGTGAGGTCCAAACGGCCCAGTGTTCACCGCCTGAGCTGAATGGATGATGGATGGGATTGTCCTGGGGGCTTGCGAGCCAGGGGCAATTGGCCCCCGTGCATGTTAAAGCCAACCTTCTGGCTAGATGAACCCCATTCTGTTGACATCCCTGAGGGCAGGGCTCGCCTCTCCCAGTATCCCCTGCTCCCGGCACACAGTAGGTGCTCAGCAAATGCTGGGGGAGTGCGTGGAGGCTGTGTCCCGGCTCTCTCGCTACTTTTAGACAAGACCCTCTCACTTTCTGAGCCTCACTTTTTCCATCTGAAAAATGGGAGTGGGGAATGGCTCAGTGCTATGGTTGGGTGCTTGGGGCCTCCCCCACAATCCATACGGTGAAGTCCTGTCCCCCACTGTGATGGTGTCAGGAGGCGGGGCCTCTCACCAGCTCTCCTGTCTCTCTGGCCCGAGGTCGCAGAAGGAACAACCGAGTGCGCTAGCTGCTGATTCTTGCATCAGTCGCCCACTCATACTCACCCACCTCCTTGCACAAGAGCTGCCCTCAGCATGAGCCCAAGGCTGGGATCAGAGAACCCAAGTTACATCCCAAGAAAGCAGAACCGATTCCAACTTTCTGCCTGGGTAGTAGCTGACCACCCGACTGAGTCAGCTGCTGTGACGCCAAGGTTACCAGAGTGTGTCTGTGGTGGATGGAGCACCTTCCTACCACAGGAGCCCAGAATTCTCCATGGGGTGAGGCATGAAGCCAGGAGACTGGCCTAGGAACCTGAAGGCACAGGGTGCCCAGATGCCCTCATCAGCCCAGATGTGCAAAGGCGCATCTCAATGCCTGTTAGCCTGAGAATCAAAATAGAAAGGCTTTCATTGGGCTGACCTTGAGCTGTCCTGAGTGCTTTAAGTGTAGTAAGTCATTTAATCCCACGAGGACCCTATGAAGTGGGCACTGAGATTGTCCCCATTGTACAGATGGGGACACTGAGGCCACAGGAGGTTAAGGGGCAGAGCGGGGATCTAAACCCTAGACCAGTATGACCATGTTCTGTGTCAACAGATGCCAAGCAGACATTGGTATCTCTGTCTTCAACAGCACCCCGTACTCCGTAGAATCATTGCCCCCGGTTCCATCCAGCGGGGCAAGACACTCTACTCCTTCTCTACCAGGCTTGTGCCCAACATTGCAAAAACAGGGAGGTTCCAAAAGAGAAGTAAAACTAAGTTTCCTAATTTTGCCTGAAACCAGCATGTCCTGGAGTCCAGAAGTAGCGCAGAGTGGCTGCCAACCCTCCTTCCTTATATCCCAGGCCCGGCCCAGCCCCTCGCCCAAGAGTCATGAAAAGAGTCTCAGACTGGAAACCAGGAGGCCCAGGTCCTAGTCCCACCAAATGACCTTAACCCATCAGGGCCTCACTCTTTTCATCTCTCACATGGGGGCAAGTAATCCTGTCTTTTTCATCGTTCGGCCTTACGGAGTACCAGACACACAGAAGGTCCGAACGCATGTTTTTTGGGTGAATAAATGAAAATATATGTCGTAAGTTTGCTTCCCCTCCTTTGAAGGCCGTAAGAACAGGAACTGGACCTGACTCATCTGAAGTTCTCACATTCATAGAACTTTCCTCCTCTGCAGGCTTATTCATACAAGAAGTTGATCCCAAGCCCCCACTATGTGCCTGGCTTGGTCCAGACCTCAGCGTCATCCAGGAGCCCCTGATGCCCTGGGCTTCCTCAGGCAAGAACAACACCCAGCTGCCTTATAATCAGTAAGTTTGGCTCATTCTAGGGACTTGGGTCATGATCCCTGCATTTCCACTTCCCCAGTGCCCAGCCCTGGGGGAATACAGCCCAAAGAAAACCCTGACTTAACTACACACACACACACACACACACACACACACACACCTGCGTGTGCATGTGTTGGCATACATATGCACAGGCAATGAGACCCTAGGGCAGGAGTAGGATTTTCTGAGTTCAAATCCCAATTCCTTTGCTTATGACCTATGTGACCTTGGGAAGACCCCTTTTCCTGTCTGAGCCTCATTTTCTCCATCTGTAAAATGGGGATGATAATCCTGAAACTTTTCTCTACAGGGTTGTAAGGGGATTAAGTGAGATCATGGAGATGAAAAGCTTTGGCTCGATAAATGTGCTGTGCTCCATAAAATTGTTATTCTTGCTTCCTTTTTCCAGAATGGAAAGAGGACAGCTGTTGACTAAGTTCCAGGGAAATCCATGTTGAGGGGCCTGGAATGTAGGAATTTCCTCAGCATGTTGGATGGGGATTGACAAAAATGTAGACTGAGAATCAGAGAATGGAAGAGACCCAAGAAGCCACCATATCTGTGGCCAAGACAGCCAGATGTCACAAAAACCAATCTCCCCTCTACAATACACAGCTATTGCTGGAAAGAAGCCACCCTGGCTAGGAACTCGGTTTCCCAGCCCCCTTTGCAACTAGATTGCCCACATGATTAGTTCTTAGGTGTGGCAGAAGGCAGTTCAGAAGCAAGCAGGCTACCTCCATGCTTTCCTTCCTCAGAGACAGTGTCCATGGGGACAGTAGGGACATCAGATGGGTCCCTGAATCGCCGCCTGGAAGAGGAGCACCCTCCATTCAGAAATGCCTGCCTTATAATAAACGCCTGTTTGTTTGAGCCATGATACGCGTTTGGGTCTATCCGTTACGGCAGCTACTACCCTGACAAATACAACAGTCAGCCTCCTTATGTACAGATGATTATGGCCAGAGAGTACCCTGTCCAAGGTCACAGAGCATATTCAGCAAAGGTCAAGAACTTTGGTCTCGTAACAGTTGGGAGTAGGTCTGCAAGCTTCACCCTGCTCCACAGAGCTATCATGATTCTTTAAGGTCCTTTAGCAGTGAGAGTGATGCTTAATGAGCTGAAGCCTGGAGCCCTCCACTCCTATTTCAGTTAGGATAGCACCACCTTTATCTGTTTCCCCCCCTATATTTTCATTGGAGAGAAGGATTCTGTGGCTTAAGAAACTTCCCAAGTCTGCACAGAATCTGCTTTCTGTGGTACAACACAACAAAGTTTCACTTCTTCTCCAGCATGCCGCCTGACCTCAACTGCTGACACAGGGTATAACTTGCAAAAAGTACATATATATTTGCTTAGAAAGGAAAAAAAACAAACCTCGGTGTGCATCGAAGAACCGGGAGACCTGGGCAAAGGCAAGGAAAAGAGACGGCCAACTACTCTAGCGCAATGGTTCTTAGGTTTTGGGGTGCATCAGACTCCTCCGTGAAGTGGCTTCCAAATGCGGACTTTGCACAGCCCACCCTCCGATATTCTGACTCAGAAAAATGAAGCTTTAAGAAATACTCATGATTCTCCTGATTATTGATCATCATGTCAGTAATCCCAGGATTCCACTTGGAGAAGTCTTGAGTCTACTTCGTAGCCTCAAAACTGGCACTGATAACTGCACCTGTGCAAGCATAGCTCAAAGAGAATGAAATCGGCTTTTGGTTTTCTTGGACACTGGCAGGAACCTGGGCATTAATGATCGACTGGTAAAGAAAGCAGTAATTATTTCTACTTGGCTCCCATGGGTGTCACGGGTGTAGATAGCATGGTGGTATAGAAATGATAACAGAATAATAGCTAATGTTTATAAAGCCCTTGCTACATGACAAGCCCTCTGCTATGTGCTCCTCATCTATCATCTCATTTAATCTTTTAATAATCCTAGGAGGGAATTACTATTCATACTCCCATTTTATAGATGAGGAAACTGAGGTATAAAGATAAGGCATAACTTGTTCTCTGTCACTAAGGTGGCAGGTGGCAGGCCAGGATCAAACCCACCCAACAGAACCCAACCCCATAGCCATAGTGCTCTATGGCCTTTCATGGAGGTCTAGCATCAGAACCCCTCTCTGGGACTCAGTTTCCTAATCTGTCAAACAGACGTATGAATAGCACCTTTATCATCATAGCCATGCTGAGGATTCGAGAAAATTATAGCAATAACATGGTTTGCCAACTGACAGGAGTTATTAAGTAAACATCTAAGAGATGAGACTTTAGTCGAGCTCCCTCATCCCATTTTGCAGATGGTGAAACTGAGGCCTGGCTACTTTACTTATTCGATGAACGTTTAACTGAGCACCTGCTACATGCTAGGTCTTGTGCAGGGGGATGAGGATACAGAGAGAATAGTACCCTGTTCTGGCCTCAAGGAGCTCCCAGGCCAGCAGAGGAGACAGACAGCAGGACAGGCAATTACAAGACAGTGTGATGGGCACTGTGATGGGTGAGTACCGGCACCAAGAGAGCCTAGTGGAGATAGGTGTGGACCCAGTTGGAGGGGTAAGGGGGACTTTTCATAAGGGCTCAGCCAAAGAGGGAAGTACTTACCCAAAGCCAGGTTTATCTATTCTCTGAAGGCTGGAGGAGGCCAGCGAAGGTCCCTGTGTACCAAGGGATAAATAACTCCACCCTTGGGCTTCTCAGTGCCGGGCACCACACGGCTTGAGCATCGCGGGTTTCAGTTAAACCTTCTAAGAAAATGTCAAGCCGCCTTCCTCCCGCCAGCAGAGGCCTGACTTAGCTGATGCTGTTCATTCCAGCGACACAGACATTTGGAGAAGTCTTTCCTCTCGGCAAGTTGGAGGAAGCAAAAGAGACAGCGAGAGCGGCAAGGAGGTTGGTCTTGAAAAGGAAGTAGGGGATTCCAGAAGGGAAACTGGGGCCCAGGCCCTTCGGGGAAAGAGAAAGCAGAC